CGATCGCGAAGAAGAGCGATGTGCTGGTCGTCTTCGAGAAGTGGCTGAAGGAGGTGGAGCGGCAGACGTCGAAGACGGTGAAGAAGCTGCGTTCTGACCGCGGAGGGGAGTTCCTCGGTCGTGCCTTCACCGATCTCGTCGAGGACAAGGAAATCCTCCACAATCAGACGTGCCCCTACACTCCGCAGCAGAATGGGATGGCCGAGCGGGAGATGCACACGGTGGTCGAGGCCGTGCGTACGATGCTTCTGCACATGGGCGTGAAGCATCACTGGTGGCACCTCGCTCTGCGACAGGCCGTCTGGGTGCGCAACTGCCTCGAGCGTGCTCGACGACGCAGAGGCCGACGTGCATCTGGCCGAACTCGACCCCGATATGCATGCTGACCCAGAGCATCGCTGAGACATCTCCAACATGACGGTGAAGGAGGCGTTGGCGAGCTGGAAAGGCAAGGCGGTGAAGGCCGCCATGGACGAGGAAATCAAGAGCCTCATCTCCAACGGAACGTGGGAGCTTGTTGAGCGTCCGCGCGGTGTCAACATCATGAAGAACCGCTGGGTGCTCACGACGAAGTACCACGTCGACGACACGGTCGCCCGTGAGAAGGCGCGTCTAGTGGTGAAAGGCTTCACGCAGGTCTACGGCGCAAATACGACGAGACGTACGCGCCGGTGGGGAGCTACGTAACTCTGCGGATCTTCCTCAGCATCGTAGCAGTCCTCGACCTGCACCTGATGCAGCTGGACATGAAAAACGCGTTTCAACAGAGCAAGTTGGATCGCATCCTCTACATGTACCAGCCTGAGTACTTCAACGACGGAACTGGCCGAGTCTGCAAGCTGCTGAAGAGCTTGTACGGCCTGAAGCAGAGTCCGCTGCTGTGGTACTCGGCGCTCGACGCGGTGCTGACTGGCGCCAACTGGAAGAAGAGCCAGGTCGACGAGGTTCTGTACTTCAAGATCAACGACGACGGAGTGGCGTGCTGGGTGCTCGTCTACGTCGACGATCTGCTCGCTGCAAGCAGCAGCACTGCGATGCTGAAGGAGCTGAAGGAGCTGCTGGAGGCCGCCTTCGAGCTGCGCGAAATCAGCCCGGTCGAGAAGTATCTCGGGCTGGAAATCGTGCGCGACCGTCCTGCGAGGAAGCTGTGGCTTCACCAGCAAGTCTACGTCGACAAGCTGCGTCGGCGTTTCATCGACGAGGAGTTGACCGGGCGAGTGCCGAATACGCCAGTCTCCGTCGACGCCTACGCAGAGCTGGTGTTCGACGACGAGGAGTTTCAGTCGCGCGAGGAAGCAGAGTATCGGCAGAAGGTCGGCTCGCTGCAGATCGCGGCCACCACAACGAGGCCCGACATTGCCTTCGCTTGCAGCAAGCTCGGATCCGGCCTGAAAGTGCGGAGCGACAACCACTGGCGTGAGGTCGATCGCTGTCTGCACTACCTCGCTGAAACTCGTGACGCCTCTTTGGAGTTCGGCGGCGGACCAGAGTCGCTGTGCCTGGTCGGCTATGCAGATGCCGACGACGCTGGCGACAAACAGAAACGGACGAGCACGGGCGGCTACGTTTTCATCTTCGGAGGAGCCGCAGTCTCCTGGTCGAGCCAGCGCATTAAGTGCGCAACGCTTTCGTCGACCGAATCAGAGTATGTCGCGGCTACCGAAGCTGGCAAGGAGGCTCGCCGTCTGCGTTTCCTCCTTGTAGAATTCCGCCTGCTCGACGCAAAGGAGCCGACTGTTCTGCATGTGGACAACCAGTCGGCGATCACTGTCGCAGAGGGCTTGGGGCTCAAGGGCAACCTCAAGCATATGGAGCAACGCTACGCCTGGCTGCAGCAGATGGTGAAGCGCGGGAAGATTGCTCTGCAGTACATCCCGACCTCCGAGCAGCCGGCGGATTTTCTGACGAAGGCGCTGCATTTTCCGGCTTTCAACTGTTGCTCCGTCGCAATCGGCCAAGTGCGTCTGGCCGACGTGGGTGACGGGGATGACGAGGTGCAGCAGTAGGTGCCGTGCCCTTCTGCACGGCTGGTGCGGTGATCTACGTGCTATGTGTTGGGTGCACGTAGAAGGAATTCTCCTTGTATTCTATCCCTCTCGGTTCTGGGTGGACCTTGTGTGTGGGTGCCCAAGCGTGAGCTGGGCAGGGAAGTGTCGAAGAGAAAGGCCCCGCCCTCGCTTGGGCGTAGCCGATCTCGCCGTCGACGGGAAGTTCTCGACGGATTGGTCGAAGAAGTGGTCTTCTGCAGTTCGACGAAATTTGCGGTCGAGTAGTCTCTGCTCGACAGAATCTGGTCGACGAGCTCTGCGCGACGAGCTCTGGCCGACGATCTTTGTGCAACGAACTTCCGTCGAAGAACTATGGTCGAGGAGTTCGGGTCGAGAAACTCTGGTCGAAGAGTTCTGGTCGAGTAGCTCTGCTCGGCGAACTCTGTTCGACCGAGCGATGGCGAGTCCGTCGACCGAAGTTGCAGAGTTGTGCGAAACTCTGCGGAGGCGTGCGAACTTTCGCCCAGGAGATTTTGGCGAAGTTCTACCTGCGGAACGGCATCACGTGGTCGACGGTGCGCACCTGGCGAAACCGACGACACGTTTTCTACCTGGCACCTGCGCAATGTGCCTGGCGGTGAAACCGCCAACCTGCACCTACTTGGTAGGTGTGCACATCTGCGCAGATAGACAACCTGCGACTGCAGATAGTCACCTGCGACTACAGTGCTGGCAGACCGCGCGAACTGCAACGTTGGCAAGCCGCTCTTCTGCTGCGCTGGCAGATTTCGCCCTTGCTAGGAGTTCTATGCCATTCTAGTCCTTTTGTTCTGCATGCCTCAATTGTACTATCTACTTTTCATTGCAAGTTGTTCTTTTCAATATCTTAGTGGAAACTCTTGCCAAACTTCTCTGTGAACACAGCAAGCAGTAAGAACATTAGTACAACGCTACGATCACCCACACAACTCCGTGCCCTCCACCGTAGTCCACTCCCGTTGTATAGTGACTCTCCGCAGCAGCACAGAGGGACTACGAGTTACACTCTCTCGACTTCTCTACTGCTTTCCTTCAGGGTAGCCTACACGAGGAGGTCTGACTGCGTCGTCCCTCTGCCTTCACTGGCACTTTCCCTCCTAAGACCCAGTGGAGGCTGAGGCGATCGGTCTACGGTCTCTGTCAGGCTCCTCGTGAGTGGCACGACACCCTTCGTTCTACCCTGTCTGACCTCGGTTTCCAGCCGTCTTTTGCCGACCCGTCGCTGTTTGTTCGGTGTGGCTCCACACCGTTCTTTGTACTGGTCTACGTCGACGACCTGGTTTTACTGCTGACAGGGTTGCTTTGGCTGACGTGAAGCGCGAGCTGCAGAAGAGACACACGTGCACTGACCTTGGTGAGCTGAGCCACTACCTTGGCCTGTAGATCACCAGGGACAGAGCCGCTCGCACCATTACACTCTCACAGTCACACATGGTGCAGCAGGTCCTTCAGCGGTTCGAGCTTGAGCTCTCTACAGTACAGCGCACACCTCTTGCTGTTGACCACAGACTCACTGGACCCTTCCCTGACGAGCCGTTTGAGTCTAGTGGTCCTTACGCAGAGCTTGTGGGCTGCCTCATGTATTGATGACTTGTACTCGCCCGGACCTCGCCTTCCCTCTCAGCATCCTTGCTCGCTTTGTTGCGCCAGGGAGACACCGTTCAGTTCACTGGACAGCTGCTGTGAGGGTGGCGAAGTACCTAGCGACGACATCAGGCGTTGGGCTGGTTCTTGGAGGGCAGCAGTCTGTTGTACTTACTGGACACTGTGACTCTTCTTACGCTGACGACGCCGAGACTCACAAGTCTACTCAGGGGTACAGCTTCAGCCTGGGCTCTGGAGCTGTTTCGTGGAGGTCCACGCGTTCCTCCTCGGTCTCGACCTCCACTGCTGAGGCCGAGATCTACGCTGGAGCCATGGCTGCACAGGAGCTGCGTTGGTTGACCTTCTTGCTCACCGACCTTGGTGAGCGGCCGAGCTCTGCGCCGACCTTGTTCACTGACAACAAGGCGTCGATTCTCCTCTGTCGAGAGCCGCGACTGTAGAGCAGAGTGAAGCACATCAACGTCAGGTACTTTCTTCTAAGAGAGTTGCAGAGGCGTGGGCAGGCTCGCTTCGACTTTGTGGAGTCCGAGGCCAACACTGCAGACATCTTCACCAAGGCGCTTCCACCTTGTGACCACCAGAGGTATCGTATGCAGTTAGGTCTCGTTGACACAGGTTCTCGCCTTGCGTAGCCTCGAGTTCTCAGCTTGCTTTGTTTGTATGTTTTATATTTACCCCTGTGAATTCTTGAACTGGCCTTGTGGCTCTTTTGCTTGTGCTCAGAGTGGGTGGTGACGTTGTGATCCACCCTGAGCTTTGTTTCTCTGTGACTGGTCTTGTGACCGTACACTTTTGGTTTTGCTTGACACCCCTCACTTAGACTATGGGGGTGTGTCAAATGTTGTAGTTTAGTGATGTGTGTTATAGGGGGTACAACTGTTAGGGTTAGGTCTATGTACCCCAACCAACGTTAGTCAAACCAACACCTTCATTCTTGATATGGTGCTACAACTACATTAAAATATAGTAACCAACGTTTCTAAAGAAAACGAGCAAAAACATGCATAAGAAAATACAACCAAGCAAGATAAAGCATAAGAATGTAAATGAAAGGAAGGCTAACTGTCACACTGTCAGACTTCAGGATCCCTTTGGTTTTCATGTATAGGCCACATGGGCCTCCTCTTTTATCATGCCCACCCTTTACAATACAACTATCGAAGCAGAGATTTCTCTGCAGAAATGTAGGTATTCAATTTATATTTTCACAAGATTTAATTTGAATCAACTTTAACTGATCCGCTTATATTGCATTGCAGAGCACTTTTACAAGAACAGATGAGGATAAGGCTTGCTATGTGCCTGCCCCATCCCATCCATCCATTATATTCTTCGATTATTCCGCAGCATGATGACGCCAGCCTATCCATGGCAGTCTGTCACGTCACGTCCAGCAGGCGCACCACCAGCGACGGTCCATTTGAGGCGCCGTCGACTACATCCGTCCCGCCGTTTCTATTTCCCCGCCTCTCTGCTTCCCTGCCTCCCTGCCGCTCCCTTGCGCCTCGAAGCCAACCCAGCCATCTGAGGTGTCTCTCACACCGTATGACGGGACTAAAATCCCGTCACACCGACTTGCGACATCGCACGTGCGATCTCCGCCGTCGGATTGCACCAACCGTCTCTGCCGTGGCGACCGTGACGAGATGGAAAGAGCGAGCGAGCGAGCAGCTGGGATATCGTTTCCGAATGCTTCTACGCGCTCTCCTCTCGTCAAGAGAGGTGTCAAGCGCGGCTCTCCCTTAGTTCGCGGCTCTCCGAGAGTGCGAGAGTCTGTGATCTAAAGGGCAGGGGAGGGCAGTAAAGGGATTTCCAGATGCTGGGAGCTTTTTTCCCAGGAGCTGGAATAACAGAATTCAAGAATCCGAAGCTCCCGTGGGCAGTTGAGTATTTGCTCGAAAATCGCACGCAGCAAGCGAGAGGCATCGTCCCTTAACGGCTGTCACTCGTGGAGACGCCTCCTTGGCTGTTTGAGACGTCTGAAGTGAATGGATGCGATGAATCGCCCCCCGCATATGCTGATTCTTCCGCTGCGGCAGAGCAGACGAGTGCTCGCAGCAGCGCCGTGCTCGTTGCTGCCCGTGCTGCTATCTGCTCTGCTGCTGCTCGTCTCTGTCGGCTCAGCGGCCTCTTTGGAAGCGCAATCACAGCGTGCCGATCTCCTGCGCAGACCTCCCCATGTGAGTCACTCTCACAACACCATCCTGCGTCGCTGTCCGCTCTGCTGCTGCTGCTGCTGCTGCTGCTGCTGCTGCTGCTCGCGACTGCTGGCTCCGCGGCCTCTCTGGACGCGGACGCGCAATCACAGCGTGCCCGTCTCTCGCGTCGCCCTCCCCATGTAAGTGACTCTCACAGCACCATCCTGCTCTGTCAAGTCAAGTATCACGCACTCACCTGCTCCCGCGTTGCAACTCAGTTTTTACACCTTCCTCCCCATGTGACTGTTATCCGCCATGCTTCGACTCTTAGGCTGCAGCAATAGCAACCTGCTCTATTATTGGTTACACTCACTCACCCGCTTCCACTTAGCAACTCATCTGCAGCGCAGTCTTTGTGTACTCACTCGCACAACTGCATTCATACAATCTCTCAAGTTTTTCTCTCCTGCCGTGCCATCCTGCTCTCCTCCCCTGTCTCGCCCCCTCTTCCCCTGCCGTCCGCCCATCCGCCCCTTGACCCCCCCTTGCCTCCCTCTTTCCTTTCTGCAGCCCCTCGCGCGCCTCTTCTCCCGCCCATCCCCCTCACCATCGTCCACCTGGCTGCCCCCCTGGCAGCACAGGGAGCACGCGCAGGGCAGGGTGCTTCTGGGGGAGACGGGGCATGTGCTGACGGCAGCTCTCATGCACCATACTGCTGTGCATGGGTGTGATGGTGATGTGAGTGCATGCATGCCATGCCACGTATCATCAATCGAACATACCCGCTATTGCAGTGAGCTTCACTGCATTGAATGTTTGGATTTGAGCGATGGGAACATCATGCTGTGTGGGGCCAATCCAACCTACTGCAAGGAACACCAAGTCATGTGTGTGACATGTGATAGGTTGGATTGGACCCACATAGCCTGGTGTTCCCATCCCCACTCACCAGCTATCGATTGAAGTTTCTTTTCTGTGTCGCATAGTATGTACCAGTGCAACTTTCTCCTGTCTCTCCTCCTCCTCACTTCTCTCTTTCCCGACCTGCCCTCTTCTTTCCTTGCCCCCCTCCCCCTTCCCCTTCCCTTTTCCTCTCTCCCCCTATCTCCCCTTCCCTCCGTCTCTCCCCTCTCCCTCTCCCCCACCCTCTCCCCACCCTCAGCACGCTGCATACCACATGCGCCAGCGCCACCGGGACAAGCACCGCATCCTCACGGCCTTTGCCCCGCCGCCGCCCTCAAGAGCTGGTGCCCGCAGACTGCAAGAGTCGCCTGCAACAGCAGCAACAGGTGCTGCCAGCGGCGTTGCAGCGTTTGACCTGGGAGGCCGAACCATTCCATATGGGTAATTTGGTGGGCTTATGGAAATGAATGACAGTGTGGCTTGTGTGTGGGGCCGGGATGGGGTGTGGGGGATGATTCTGGGGGAATTTGTGGGTTGGTTGGTTGGTTTATGTGGGGGGAAGGGTCTGCATAAGTTTGCCTTGAGACGTCGCGGCATCTGATGGCATGCAGGCAGCATTTGGTTGGACGGATGCGGTTTTTCAGACCCATGGACATGCGGGCGGTGCTGTCTGCGCTTCCCCTCCTCACCTTGCTTCTTCACCCTTCCCGTCACACTCCCTTGCACTCCCTTATTCCTGCCGTCCTGCATCTTCATCACTCTGAGTGTGTCACTCTCATCGTCTGCTTGTTGTTCCTCCTCCGTGGTAATTTGTGAGTCACCTCTCAAGAATCTCCCAAGCCCTCTCTCTCTCCCCACCGTCCCTGCCCCAGGCTGTACTATTTGAACGTGTCACTCTCATCGCCTGCGCGTTCCTTCTCTGTCGTCTTTGACACGGGCAGTGACATGCTGTGGGTGCCCTGTGACTGCATCCAGTGTGCCACCGACTCCTCCCTCGTTGTAAGAACAACCACTTCCTGTAAGCACAAATAGTCATGGTAAGAACAACAAACTCTCGTTACTACACATCGTTATTCCAATTTGCGCTGCAGCAGCAGTAACTACCGCCCTTGTCCCCTTCTCCTTCTCTCCCCTCCCTTTTCCCCCGTCCAGCCCCTGAGCGCCCCCTACCGCCCAGAGAACTCGATCACAGCACAGCCCGTCAGCTGCAGCAGCCCTCTCTGCCCCACCGGCCGCCCCAACATCGGCTGCGGCGTTGCCCCCAACCTCACGCGCACTCCCAGCACCGTCTCTCGCTCTGCTCAGCAGCCCGCCACTCCCACAAGCAGCTCAGCCTCTAATCAGCCTTTTGCTCCCATTGGGGTGGTTCCAGAGCCTCTACCGCTCTCAACCTCCTCCAATGCCTCTGATTCTCTGTCGGACTCCCTGCCCCAGCCTGCTGCTGCTGATTGGCCCTCCCCAAGTGACACGTGTCAGTATGTGATTCGCTATGGGGATGGCAGCAGCACGGAGGGGACTCTGGTGACTGATGTGATTAACCTGAGTGTGACACAAGCAGGGGCTGGTGCAGTCGCAGCTGCCACATCAGCGTCGTCTGTGCCAGGTGGCAGCCAGTCATTGGCGGAGGGGTCGTCAGGAAGTGGGAGCAGCGTTGTGAGCCCACGGGTGCTGTTTGGGTGAGTGGAGCAATATGGTGCTAGAAGGTGTGATGGATGTCTCATGTCATGGCATCATGTCACATGGCGTGATGTTACATGGAATGATGTTACATGGAATGATGTTACATGGGATGGTGTTACATGGAATGATGTTACATGGAATGATGTTACATGGGATGATGTTACATGGGATGATGTTACATGGAATGATGTTACATGGAATGATGTTACATGGAATGATGTTACATGGAATGATGTTACATGGAATGATGTTACATGGAATGATGTTACATGGGATGATGTTACATGGGATGATGTTACATGGGATGATGTTACATGGGATGATGTTACATGGGATGATGTTACATGGGATGATGTTACATGGGATGATGTTACATGGCATGATGTTACATGGGATGATGTTACATGGAATGATGTTACATGGAATGATGTTACATGGAATGATGTTACATGGAATGATGTTACATGGAATGATGTTACATGGAATGATGTTACATGGAATGATGTTACATGGAATGATGTTACATGGAATGATGTTACATGGAATGATGTTACATGGAATGATGTTACATGGAATGATGTTACATGGAATGATGTTACATGGAATGATGTTACATGGAATGATGTTACATGGAATGATGTTACATGGAATGATGTTACATGGGATGGTGTTACATGGAATGATGTTACATGGGATGATGTTACATGGGATGATGTTACATGGGATGATGTTACATGGGATGATGTTACATGGGATGATGTTACATGGGATGATGTTACATGGGATGATGTTACATGGGATGATGTTACATGGGATGATGTTACATGGGATGATGTTACATGGAATGATGTTACATGGAATGATGTCACATGGGATGATGTTACATGGAATGATGTTACATGGAATGATGTTACATGGAATGATGTTACATGGAATGATGTTACATGGGATGATGTTACATGGGATGATGTTACATGGGATGATGTTACATGGGATGATGTTACATGGGATGATGTTACATGGGATGATGTTACATGGGATGATGTTACATGGGATGATGTTACATGGGATGATGTTACATGGAATGATGTTACATGGAATGATGTTACATGGGATGATGTTACATGGGATGATGTTACATGGGATGGTGTTACATGGAATGGTGTTACATGGAATGGTGTTACATGGAATGGTGTTACATGGAATGGTGTTACATGGGATGATGTTACATGGGATGATGTTACATGGGATGATGTTACATGGGATGTTGTTACATGGGATGATGTTACATGGGATGATGTTACATGGGATGATGTTACATGGGATGATGTTACATGGGATGATGTTACATGGATGATGTTACATGGGAATGATGTTACATGGAATGATGTTACATGGAATGATGTTACATGGGATGATGTTACATGGGATGATGTTACATGGGATGGTGTTACATGGAATGGTGTTACATGGAATGGTGTTACATGGAATGGTGTTACATGGAATGGTGTTACATGGAATGGTGTTACATGGGATGATGTTACATGGGATGATGTTACATGGGATGATGTTACATGGGATGATGTTACATGGGATGATGTTACATGGGATGATGTTACATGGGATGATGTTACATGGAATGATGTTACATGGAATGATGTTACATGGAATGATGTTACATGGAATGATGTTACATGGAATGATGTTACATGGAATGATGTTACATGCAATGATGTTACATGCAATGATGTTACATGGAATGATGTTACATGGAATGATGTTACATGGAATGATGTTACATGGAATGATGTTACATGGAATGATGTTACATGGAATGATGTTACATGGAATGATGTTACATGGAATGATGTTACATGGGATGATGTTACATGGGATGATGTTACATGGGATGATGTTACATGGGATGATGTTACATGGGATGATGTTACATGGAATGATGTTACATGGAATGATGTTACATGGAATGATGTTACATGGAATGATGTTACATGGGATGATGTTACATGGGATGATGTTACATGGGATGATGTTACATGGGATGATGTTATATGGAATGATGTTACATGGGATGATGTTACATGGGATGATGTTACATGGGATGATGTTACATGGGATGATGTTACATGGGATGATGTTACATGGGATGATGTTACATGGGATGATGTTACATGGGATGATGTTACATGGGATGATGTTACATGGGATGATGTTACATGGGATGATGTTACATGGGATGATGTTACATGGAATGATGTTACATGGAATGATGTTACATGGAATGATGTTACATGGAATGATGTTACATGGAATGATGTTACATGGAATGATGTTACATGGAATGATGTTACATGGAATGATGTTACATGGGATGATGTTACATGGGATGATGTTACATGGGATGATGTTACATGGGATGATGTTACATGGGATGATGTTACATGGGATGATGTTACATGGGATGATGTTACATGGGATGATGTTACATGGGATGATGTTACATGGGATGATGTTACATGGGATGATGTTACATGGAATGATGTTACATGGAATGATGTTACATGGAATGATGTTACATGGGATGATGTTACATGGGATGGTGTTACATGGAATGGTGTTACATGGAATGGTGTTACATGGAATGGTGTTACATGGAATGGTGTTACATGGGATGATGTTACATGGGATGATGTTACATGGGATGATGTTACATGGGATGATGTTACATGGGATGATGTTACATGGGATGATGTTACATGGGATGATGTTACATGGGATGATGTTACATGGAATGATGTTACATGGAATGATGTTACATGGGATGATGTTACATGGGATGATGTTCCATGGGATGATGTTACATGGGATGATGTTACATGGGATGATGTTACATGGGATGATGTTACATGGGATGATGTTTCATGGGATGATGTTTCATGGGATGATGTTACATGGGATGATGTTACATGGGATGATGTTACATGGGATGATGTTACATGGGATGATGTTACATGGGATGATGTTACATGGGATGATGTTACATGGGATGATGTTACATGGGATGATGTTACATGGGATGATGTTACATGGAATGATGTTACATGGGATGATGTTACATGGGATGATGTTACATGGAATGATGTTACATGGAATGATGTTACATGGAATGATGTTACATGGGATGATGTTACATGGGATGATGTTACATGGGATGATGTTACATGGGATGATGTTACATGGGATGATGTTACATGGGATGATGTTACATGGGATGATGTTACATGGAATGATGTTACATGTGATGTTACATGGGATGATGTTACATGGGATGATGTTACATGGGATGATGTTACATGGGATGATGTTACATGGGATGATGTTACATGGGATGATGTTACATGGGATGATGTTACATGGGATGATGTTACATGGGATGATGTTACATGGGATGATGTTACATGGGATGATGTTACATGGGATGATGTTACATGGGATGATGTTACATGGGATGATGTTACATGGGATGATGTTACATGGGATGATGTTACATGGGATGATGTTACATGGGATGATGTTACATGGAATGATGTTACATGGAATGATGTTACATGGGATGATGTTACATGGGATGATGTTACATGGGATGATGTTACATGGAATGATGTTACATGGAATGATGTTACATGGAATGATGTTACATGGAATGATGTTACATGGAATGATGTTACATGGAATGATGTTACATGGAATGATGTTACATGGAATGATGTTACATGGAATGATGTTACATGGAATGATGTTACATGGAATGGTGTTACATGGAATGGTGTTACATGGAATGGTGTTACATGGAATGATGTTACATGGAATGGTGTTACATGTTATGGTGTTACATGGAATGGTGTTACATGGAATGGTGTTACATGGGATGATGTTACATGGGATGATGTTACATGGGATGATGTTACATGGGATGATGTTACATGGGATGATGTTACATGGGATGATGTTACATGGAATGATGTTACATGGAATGATGTTACATGGAATGATGTTACATGGAATGATGTTACATGGAATGATGTTACATGGAATGATGTTACATGGAATGATGTTACATGGGATGATGTTACATGGGATGATGTTACATGGGATGATGTTACATGGGATGATGTTACATGGGATGATGTTACATGGGATGATGTTACATGGGATGATGTTACATGGGATGATGTTACATGGGATGATGTTACATGGGATGATGTTACATGGGATGATGTTACATGGGATGATGTTACATGGAATGATGTTACATGGGATGATGTTACATGGGATGATGTTACATGGGATGGTGTTACATGGAATGGTGTTACATGGAATGGTGTTACATGGAATGGTGTTACATGGGATGCTGTTACATGGGATGCTGTTACATGGGATGATGTTACATGGGATGATGTTACATGGGATGATGTTACATGGGATGATGTTACATGGGATGATGTTACATGGGATGATGTTACATGGGATGATGTTACATGGAATGATGTTACATGGGATGATGTTACATGGGATGATGTTACATGGGATGATGTTACATGGGATGATGTTACATGGGATGATGTTACATGGGATGATGTTACATGGGATGATGTTTCATGGAATGATGTTTCATGGGATGATGTTACATGGGATGATGTTACATGGGATGATGTTACATGGGATGATGTTACATGGGATGATGTTACATGGGATGATGTTACATGGGATGATGTTACATGGGATGATGTTACATGGGATGATGTTACATGGGGTGATGTTACATGGAATGATGTTACATGGGTGATGTTACATGGGATGATGTTACATGGGATGATGTTACATGGAATGATGTTACATGGAATGATGTTACATGGAATGATGTTACATGGGATGATGTTACATGGGATGATGTTACATGGGATGATGTTACATGGGA